GCTCATACCAGCAAGACGAGTCTTCATGTGCCATTTGTCCACGGTTTTGCTGATGTAGGGCATCAGCCTGCCACGTGTGCGTAATCGTGCGTGCAAGGTGAGGAACATCAACACTGTATCAACAAGCCCACACAGGTGCACAAGATTAAGACACGCACACACACACACACGCACACACACACACACGTGTGCACAGACCTGTCGTGGTGTCGCCGGCATGCTGCCTCCATGGCAGCGAGCTGTGCGTCTTCATCCTCGATGACCGTAAACGGCGTGGTGAGCCGCTTCGCCTTCTTGCTCTTCCTCTCGCCCGTCTCATCCTCATCCCTATCCTCATCCTCATCACTTTCATTAGCATCGTCATCCTCATCCTCGTCCTTGTCGTTTTTGTCTTGCTCCTCATCTTCCTCGTTTTTGTTGTCATTCTCTGCCTCGCTGCTCGGTGCAAGCGCATCCAACATTTCCTGCTGCAGCTGCGCAATGTGCCATGCAAGCCGCGTCAGCTTGTGCCTGTGATATGTGTGTGTGAGAGAGTGTTGTTGTGTGTGTGTGTGTGTGTGTGTGTGTGTGTGTGTGTGTGTGTGTGTGTGTGTGTGTGTGCGAACGTGAGGGTGCGGAAATCACGCGCACAAGCGCACGTAGATACAGGACAAAAGGGAAGCGCGACGTGCAGGGGAGTCATCTAACATGTGCACACACACACGCCCACAGACACGCACACACAAAATTTGCCGCTAAACACAAGCATGTTCAGCTGCACACAGGCAGGCGCAAGCATCAGTGGCTGACTTTGCTTCTTCGGCATGTGTCTCGTCGTGTTCCTTCAGGGTCGTGGTTGGCGTCAGCGTTGTAATGGGAGCCACCGCTTTCTGTGGGGGTGTGCGTTGTGGGGTGCGTAAGTTTCGTCGTCACTGACGAAAAGGGCCGTGCACTTGCAAGACTAATTCTGGCAGCGCGGGCGCAAAGAACAAACGCTCACTCACAAACAAGCACACACACACACCAACACACACATACACACACACACCAACACACACATACACACACCAACATACACACCAACACACACAAAACGCTTCATACACACACAGCCACACCGCACCTGCAGGGCGATGCGTGTGGAGAAGAGCGATGCGCCCGCGTGCAGCTGCCGGGCCGCGTGCAGCCCTTTCTCCTTCCTGGCTTCCATATCTCTGCTTGTCTGCTTGCACCACGTGTAGTCTGCTGCTGCTGCACAAAATAAATAACAACCTGGCTCTACTGATTCGATGCACGATGGTGCACTCGCCAGACACCATAAATAGATTGCATGCGAAAAGTACCGATGACGAGTGGACGCGGGTGGCGAACGAAACGGCGATGTATAGTGTGTTGTGATTGGTCAGTTGCTGTTTTTTTTTATTCTCACCCGGGCAATCGTGCGCTGTGATTGGTCCATTGAACGCCACCAGTGGCGACGGGTGCGGCGGACACACAAACAAAGCACAAAGCACAAACAAAGCACCATCTGCTGCTCCACGCTTGCTTTTGCAGAGGCTGGCCACCAATGGCTGCGGTGGTGCCCGCCATGCATGCCGTCGCGTCATCATTCATTCACCGCAGCATCGATGTTCATTCTCATTCAGACCAATCCAAACGCTACACATAATAACGGCACCACCCTCGAGAGCAGCCTGGTGGTGAGTGAGTGTGTGGAACGATGCATGTATGTGTGTAGGTGTGTGTGTGTGTGTAGCTTTTGTGGATGTGTAGGTGGGTGTGCATTTGTGTATGTGTAGCGCAATTCACACACACGCACACACGCACGCACACACACACACACACACGCGCCATCGCGCAGCGCGCATTGCTCCTGCTGCATCCACACACCCCAACTTCTCTCTCACACTCACTCTCTCACACACACCATTGAAACACAAACACGCGAACATAAACACAACCACGCACGCGCTTTCGCATTCATGCTCGCAGACCCAGCGACCGAAACAATCGCGCAACACACCCTACCCGCATCTTCTGCAAACAATCACGGCTGCAAACAATCATACAACCAACCACCCAAGCAACACACCACAGCGCCAGCAGCCAGCAGCCAGCAGCCAGTCTGCCAATCAATCGAACATTCCTGAGCCGCTCCCTCTCATCACAGCGAGCATTTATTTCTGCGACACCAACACACCCGAGTTGTGTTCGATTGCCAGGGTTGCAATTGCGCGTGCATGCTCGTGGCTGCCTTCCTCCCACCCACCCACAACTGAGGCATTCCCTCCCAGCTAGCTTGCTTGCTTGCTTGCTGACCCCCTTCGGGTGCGAATCACGAAACAAAACCGCGCACCGAACCAAAGCGACAACGCCACCCGCGCAGCAGCAGCAGCAGCACACGCAAGGCGCGGCCCACTCCCTCGCTCCCCGCCCTCTCGTGCCAGTTGGTTGGATTGCATGAGCACGTTCCTGCAACCGTCCTCGCAATCCACGACACGCAACCACCCACCGCAGCCACAACAATGCCCGCCGAGGTTATTATTTCCCCCTCCCGCCCCGCTCCAGCACCACCTTCAACCGCCACTCTAACAAAGAACCCTGCGGCAACCGTCACCCTGCGTCCATTGAGCAGCACCACAGCCGCCCACAGGCACATAACAACGGCACCACAACCACCGCCATTTTCATCCTCAGCAGCAGCAGCAGCAGCAGCAGCAGCAGCAGCAGCAGCACAGAAGCAGCTCGTCGAAGAAGACGACACCTGGCACGTCGCAGCACGCTACCCACCATCGCAGGACGTGCCCCGCGTGGACAGCGACGGCCTTCCACTCTGCGGTGACCTTTCGCCATCAGCATCATCGCCATCGTCAGCAGCACGCCACGCACGCATCGGCAGCACTGCCAGCACCGCCAGCATGGATGTCATCAACAGCACCACTGCAGCCTGGTTCAACACGGGTTCCATGGCGCACCTGCCGTCCTCGCGCTACACCGTCAAGCGCCAGCTCGGCTCCGGCGCGTATGCAACCGTGTACCACGCATACGACCACATCTGCAAGCGCGACGTGGCCGTGAAACAAATTGCCCGCTCCTCATCGTCATCGACTGTTCAGACGGCTGCACGCCGGCAGCGCCGGCACAACGACAGCAGACACGACCGGGCCGATCGCGACGTGCACATTGATGTGGCCACGCACGAGGCAGCCATCTGCACCGCCCTCTCCCACCCCAACATCATCCGCACCTTTGACGCCTTCCACACCCCACACGCCACGTTCCTGGCCATGGAGCTGGCAGCGCCGGCCGACCTCTACGAGCGGCTCAAGCCCGACGCGCCCACGCCGCTGACGGAGCCCTTTGTGCGGCGGTGGATGCACCAGCTCAGCAGCGCCCTCCTCTACATCCATGACCACCACAGCCTCACCCACGCAGACGTCAAGCCAGAGAACGTGCTGCTGGACCTGCGCGACAACGTCAAGCTGTGCGACTTTGGCCTCGCCCGCAGCATCGGCGCCCGCGCACGCCCCCCGCTGCCGGGCACATCGTGCTACATGGCCCCGGAGCAGCTGCTGGTCGAGGCTGCGGCCACCCCGGTCGACGCGTGTCCCATCTGCGCAACAGCAACCACAACAGCAACGGCGGGGCCCCGCGCGCCAGTGCCACCGCCGTCGTCGTCGTCCTCGTCGGCGTCATCAGCAGCATGTGTCATGCGGCGGCACCGGCGCAACAAGAGCTGCGGGGCCACCCCGGCCCACGGCGACCGCCAATGCACGTGCGCATACACATACACGGCCGGCGTGGACGTGTGGGGGCTGGGCCTGGTGCTGTACGCCATGCTGTTTGCAGACCTGCCGTGGGACAAGGCGCGCATGGCAGATGCAGACTACCGCGCGTATGTGCAGCGGGGCGGGTTTGCGGCGCACCGCCACCCGTTTGTGCTGCTGACGCGGCCGCTGCTGGACGCGGTGCACGGCATGCTGCATCCGGTTGAGGCACAGCGGTGGTCCATGGCGCAGGTGGCCGCGTTCTTCGCCCACGACGCCCCGCGCACCACCTGGTTCCGCTCCCAGGAGGAGGTCATGGCCGCGCAGGCAGCAGCAGCCGCAGCCAAGGCAGCCGCACGCTCACAGGCGCACGCGCACGCGCACGCGGGCGATGTCAGTCGCGGCAGTGCAACAGACAGTCGTGCTGGCGTCAGCAGCGGCGTCCGCTGTGCACCCGCAGCGCCAAGCGCCACCTCATCATCAGCCACACCATACTCAAACTCCGCGTCCTCCTCCTCCCCCTCGTCATCTTCCTCCTGCTCTCCTTCGCGCAACCCCTCCTTCGCCCCCACCACTGCCACCGCCACAACAACAACTGCATCAACAACAACTGCATCGTCATCGCAGCAGCGGCGCAGGCGCAGACGGCCGTCTGTTCCCGCGAATGGAACAACGACTGCCATCACCGCCACAAAGCGGTGCACAGGAACAACTCCTACCCCTACAACGACGACGATCGCAGGAAAGGCGCTCTCTCGTCCCACCACTGCACATGCGGTGACAGCCCGGCCGCCGGCGTCATCGCCACTAGCGTCTCCCATTCGCCGCCCCGCCACCAGCAAGACCACGCGCCCGCACACGGCCACAGCCACCCCCACGTACGCAGTCAGGGGTGGCCGAAGCTTGCCTGCAAGCAGACGGACCAGCGGTGATGCAGGCATTTCATCACCGCCCGTCAAAGGTGCCGTTCGCCCCGCATCTGCCTCTGCGCAGCACCACCAGCAGCAGCAACGCCGGCGCCACCATTCTGGAACCCCGACCGCCGTCGGATCGCCGTCGCCATCGTCGCCCCGCCGCCATCACCACCGCGGGGCCGGCACGAGCGCGCTGAGTCCGCTGCGGTCCACGCTGCCCGTGTGCACGCCGCGCAGCGTGTGGCAGTCGCGGCAGGACCTGAGCACGACGGAGGACGAGGGGTTGGACGGCACGTTCGACCGCCACAGCGCCAGGGACCGGGCCGTCACGGGATCAGCGACCACGACGGCGCCGATGAAGACGCCGGCACCAACGGCGGGAACACGCTCCCCTGCAACTGCTGCCGTTACGTCAATGCGCACATCCCAGGTGAAGAGCATGGCACCATCGTCGTCGCCGTCGAGTCGCCGCACGCGAAGTGGTCGCCATTCGGTGGCCGGGATGAGTGCACAGCAGCAGCGACATGTCATGGCGAAGGTGGCGGCGCTCAGCTGCACGTCCTCCATCTCCCTCATCTCTGCCGACTCGGCCACCTGCCCAGATATGGACGAGTCCACCGCATTTTGAGCGATGCTTTCTTCTTCTTCTTCTTCTTCTTCTTCTTCTTCTTCTTCTTCTTCTTCTTCTTCTTCTTGTGCCTCGTTTTCTTCTTGTGGTTTCTGTCCTCCCTAATTTTGTACCTTCAGACACCGTGGCGTCTTGTGGATTCAATGCCACACCCACACCCTGGTCTGGCGCACGCGCGCCTTGTTCTCCCCATCATTGATGTGTTTTTGGTTTTGGTTTTATGTTTTGTTTTCTCTTATGGCTCTATTGTTATCGCTTGTTACTTGTTGATGCACACGTTTAACGGACTGCTTTTGCCAACCACCGCGCATACATATGTTCCCCAAGACTGCACATAATCGGCTCCCACTCCCTTGTGTCGTGGTTTGCACGCACACCAAACAACCAATAAATGACGCTTCCCAACACCTGAGCACGCGATATGTAAAGTGGTGTGTGTGTGTGTCTGTGTCTGTGTCTGTGCAGAAACGCATGCGCACCTCGTCATGCCTGCGACATGTTTGCAAATCACCCGTCATGTCATCGAAGTGTCTCCCGTGCATTCATTTTCGATGTGCACTTCGCTTCAGGCCAGCCATCAACCATCCGCCAGGAGCGCGTGCGTCATCATCATCATCATTATCGCCGTCATCATCATCACATTGCTGCCAGAACGGGTCTTCCTCGCGCACATATGTCTGCGGCCGCCACGAGCCATTGACCAAAGCAGCAGGGGCAACACTCTTCAGCTCTTCCTCCTCTTGATCGTGATCTTGATCGTAATCTTGTTGTCGCTGATCCTCGTCCTCCTCCTCCTCCTCCTCCTCTTTCTTCACAACAGACTTGGGTGCTCCACCATGCTCATCGTTGCTTACGCCACGGCTCGCACCGCCACCGCCGCTTCCATCACCTGCAGCCGGCGCCCTGTCGTGTGCAGCCACGAGTGCGCGCATAAACGCGTCCACGTCGCTGTGCGTCTTCTGCACCGCCCACCGGTCAAGCGGCGTCCACTGGCTGTTGACAATGAACAGCTCGCACTTCCGCTGCTTCACCCGCTTCCACAGACACGGGTATGCCTTGAGCACCTTCAGGCTGCTGCCCAGGACGACCACCACTGTCGCCGCCGCCGCCGCCGCCATCGCCGCACCCCAGTTGGCCACGCTCGCGTGCCGCGTCGTCTCTCCAAAGTGCACAATTGTGTCCTCCAGGTGAACGCCATCCCGCGGACACGGGGCGGCTGTCAACAGCGGTCGTGGTGATGGCGGTTGTTGTTGATGTTGCTGCTGCGGTTGTTGTTGTGGTTGTGGTTGTTGTTGCTCTGTGTGCTGGTGTTGCTGCGTGCAGTGTGTGCATGTGCGGCGTGTTGTGTGGCGGCGGACGCGGCTCTGTGCAGACACGTCGAAGCGGCGCCGGTACACCTGGGACGGATGAGGTGGTGAGGCAGTGAGTAAAAGACATGATGCATTGATGGCGAGCAGAGCCGAGTCGAAGGATCACAACATGACATGCACGCAGGGGTACGTATACAAGCACAGACACACACGCGCATCAACACGCACACAGGCTCTGGCGCGCGCGCACACACACACACACATACATACATACATACGCACACACACGCACACACACACACCTTGTGGCAGGCTGGGCAGACTTCGATGAAGCAGTTGCCGTGAATCTCTGCCAGCTTGCTTGCAGGCACACCGCTGCGCAAGTGCAGACCATCACAGTTCTGCGACACGATAAAGTCCACCGCACCAACAGCAACCAGACGGGCCAGGACCATATGCGTGTATGTCGGGGTGCAGTCGGCGAGGTTGGGCAGGTCACGCGCAATGCTCTCGGGCGCCTCGCCGCGCTGTGCCCGCGCCCACAGGCCAGCCGGTCCCCTGGCCGTGTAACAAACATGGACCAAAACAAAAACCAACGAAACATGAACAAAGGCAGATTCAGGGCGCGAGAGAGAGAGAGAGAGAGATTGTGTGTGTGTGTGTGTGTGTGTGTGTGTGTGTGTGTGTGTGTGTGTGTGTGTGTGTGTGTGTGTGTGTGTGTGTGTGTGTGTGTGTGTGTGTGTGTGTGTCGACCGTCAGAGCACGTGCAGCAACACGCAGACACGCACACAAGCATACCCACACACCTGTAGTCTGGTATGTTGGCATTGTCGCATCTTACCCTGATGCCAACCACATGTGTATGTGTGCAGAATCTCCTCGTTCCGGTTGGCGGCGGTGTCATTGCCAGCCCTTCAAAGGACTTCATCACAGCAATCAGCAAGACATATCCAGGTCACACATTTGGAGAGATGCGTTCCCACAGACGAAATGGAAGACATGTTGTTGGCCATGTCTGTGTGCGTGTGTGTCTGTGCCCTGATGCTGTCGATCACACATACACACATACACATACACACACATACGTACACACACATACACACACACGCACATACACATACACACACACATACACACACACATACACACATACAAACGCACATACACACACACATACACACGCATACACACACAAACACACACACATTCACACACATACACACACATACACACATACACACATACACACTCTCTGCTCCCCATCTCTGCCCCCCCCCTTCTTTTTCTGTTCGGGTGCAGGGCGGGCGAGCTCAGCGCCGGTCGTGGATGTGTTTGTGACGCTGCTGCACCTTGGAGAGGAAGGGTACATGCGGCTGGTCAAGAGACGAAAGGTCAGACAGGCACCTGCTGCGAACGCTGTGTAATCATCCTGAGATCATACGGCACACATGCAGTTGTCTTGCGTCGTTTACCTCTCCACATTTCCACCCCGACACCACCACCCCTACTACCCTGGTCATCATCCAACCCCACCAGGAGCTGATGGTGTACCTGCGTTCCAAATTGGCGGCGGCGGCGGCAGAGTTTGGTGAACGCGTGCTGGCCGTCCCAAACAACCCAATCTCATGCGGTGGGTGGTGGTGACAATGATGATGATCATCACCATGATGATGATGATGATAGGGGTTTCTTTGCCTCTCTCTCTGCTATAGCTGTGAGAGTCTTTGTGATTTGCTGGTTGTGTTTTCTGACGTGTGTTCACCGCCATGTTCATGTTCATTCACAATTGCCAATGCGCCGCAGCCATGTCACTGTCTGGGATAGCGCGTGCACTGCAGCGGCAGCAGCAGGACGTGACCTTCTTCGGCTCAATGCTCTTCGCTCGCCGCGTCTCTGGCACAAGGTGGTCGCTAAGAAACAGCTGTTGGCCTTGAGAGTGGTGCTCTGGCCTCTGTTTGGGTTTGATTCCGTTGCATTCGTGCCATATCTGACCCCACGCCTCCCCATCCCGTCATTGCCAATGCTTTTCCGGACGGCACTTGTTCACCCGTGGTCCGCGTTCAGGGTTGTGTCGACAACGGCGACCAAGGAAGTGGCCGGCATCACGTTCAAGGTGGGCGCGTGCCGCGGTGTGGAGTCGGTGGAGGAGAACTGGGCCAGGGGTGGAGTTGTTGACAGGACAACGCTTCAATTGATCGCAATCAGTCATGTGTGACACGCTCTGCGCCTCTGCTTTGCTTTTGTGACCAACCAACGACCTTGACGTTGATCGCCATCAGGGGTACGGGGCGCACGTGGACGAGTACCCGGTACCGTACATGACGGCGGCGGCGGCGGTCGGACTCACTGAGGTTGGAGCCGCTGTGGGTGGAGGAAAGGCCGGCGTGATGCATGGATGAATGGTGGAGTGCAAGGGGCGGGAAGTGGAGAGAAGTATTGTACTCACTCACGCTCACTCACTCACGCACGCACGCACTCCATACCGCGGGAATTACAGGACGAGGTGGATGTGGATGTGTTCATTGATCGACTGAGGACCGTGGTGAAGACAGTCATGAAGAAGGCAAGCAACGGTGATGGTGATCATGGTGATGGTGATCATGGTGATGGTGATCATGGTGATGGTGATCATGGTGATGATCATGACGGTGATGATGAGAACAACGGAGGCGCTACGCAAGGTGGTGATACTGCGGATGAGTCAAGTCATTGATACTGGGGTGGCCGTGCCAGGAGTTGTCATGAATCCCCCTCCCCCTGTCTCGCCACCCCAATGTTATTCAGTTTTAGCTTGCATTCCCCCCTTCGGGGCGTCTCAATTGCTTCCTTTATCAAACAAAGCAGACATGAAAGCCACAAGCTGTTGACATATGTACAGCAGCACAGGCCGCAATGATGGCGCTCACACAGCGGTAGAGAGTAACAGTCGCGATGGCACAGCTGAAATCACACACACACGCACGCACGAAAACACACACGCACGCACGAAAACACACACGCACACACACACACACACACACACACGCATACACGCATACACGCATGCACGTGCTACACTTTAAATTTCACGAGGAGCGGGTATATTTTCCTGTACGCCCGCTCCACGTCGTCTTTGGACTTTGCCTACTTTGCCTTTGTGAGCACAATCTTCCCACTGCAGTCGCGTTCGCGGTTGCGGCCGTGGCGAACAGGAAGGGAAGCAAGGATGAGTCGTGCGTAGTTGGTTGAACAATCGTCCAGCAAACACACACGCACACATGGATCAAACACGTACACGCACACGCACGCACACGCATGGATCAAACACGTACAGACGCACACAAACACGCGCACTCGCACGCACACACACGTACACGACATGTCGCACCACAACCACACCACACTCCTATCCCCCCCCCCCGGCGTGGCACCTGTGGAAGATGAGGAGAACAACATCTGGCTCCTGCATGCGATATGTGAGGCCCGGAAACGATTCTGGATCATATGTTGACCACGCTGGATGCTCAACATGCAGGTTGTCGAGATGTAGCTTGAAGCCAATGTCCACCCTGCACACAGACGGAGCGCATGGACATCGTGTGTAAGTGTGTGTGTGTGTGTGTGTGTGTGTGTGTGTGTGTGTGTGTGTGTGTGTGTGTCTGTGTCTGTGTCTGTGTCTGTGTCTGTGTCTGTGTGTGTGTGTGGCTGTGTGCGTGTGTCTGTGTGTCTGTGTGTGTGTGTCTGTGTGTGTGTGTGCATCTGCGTGCACGTGTGCATGCCGACTTTTGTCGCTGTTTGCAGGTGCATCAGGCAAAGACGCAGCCATTCACGTTGACGCTGACACACACACACGCACACACACACACACACAACCAGCACGTCAACACCACGCTCACCGGCCGACGACGTTGTGTATCTTAATCTCTCGCAAAGACACCTGAAAAGCGGGCGCGCACGCAGAAGCAAAAAGCAAGGCAACGCGTGGCGTGAGGAGTGACTGTGTGGGGCACAACAATCAAGTCAGCACCAGCATCCACAGCGCGCAACTCTCCAACAAGTGCAACCGCCCCCCCCCCCACACACACACACACATCGCGCCCAGCAAACACACCCGAGTTCCCGCCTTTGTGATGTTCTGTGCAAACTGTCGTGCCGCAGCGTGAGCAGCTTCCTCGCTGCCAAACAATTGCACAGACAGAGAAGCAGCACACACCACAGCATCAGATTGATTTCACACGCATGCATGTACAAACGCATGAAAACACACCTAACACACTCCCAACACACGCGCACACAAGCACATACCAACACACGCACATAAACACAAAGCAAGCCCACGAGACCATTCTAAGTCGGTGTGAGCGAGTCGCGTCTCAGTCACGCATACGTATGAACACACCTTTTGGCACCCATGATGACCACTTTGCCCGTGGAGAAGATGAGGGCTGTTGCCGAGGGCTCTTTGATCCGCATGATGATGGCGCTGTATCGCTTTGGGTTGTACTCTGAGTTTTTCGCCTTCTCTGCAATCTCCTCCAGTTTTAACTGTGTTCTACTCAAGTGTGCCGTTGCCACAATGTTGCTGTAAAGGGCGTATTGTGGGTGTGGTCATGTAGTATGCGAGTGTCGTTGTGTGCATTTGTGGTGTATAGGAGTGTGTGTGTGTGCAAACTTGTGAATGTGTGACTGCGTCAATGTGTGGCAGGAAGTAGATGGAAGTGGCGTCTTGGGCAACAGCACACACACATACACGTACACACGTACACACGTACACACGCACACACGCACACACGCACACACGCACACATACACACCAGTGTACTCACACAATGTTGGGCGATGAGTTTGCCCCACCAGCGCGTTTCAACATGGTCTCGACCGCTCCACTGCACACCAGACGCACAATCCTCACAACAACAAGCCAAGCTCACGACGTCGTCACACACACACAACGGCTCTGCCTCTTGTCACCACAGCCACTCAAAGCAAGCTGTTCGACGGCGGCAGCAGCAGCAAGTAGCAGCAGCAGCAGCAGCAGCAGCAGTAGCGACGAAGGTATGAAAGGTCGTTGGAATGGTGTGGACCGAGCAAGCGAGCGAATCAGCAAGACAATGCTGTTGTGCGTCGTTGCTGTTGTTTGTGTGCACAGTGGAAGCCGTTGTAGAGGATTCGGTGAAGATAAGTGTGAATTTTCAGCACCCTCGTGTCGCGACACAGCAGACGACGAACACCATCCATGGCTGCTGGGCACAAGATGAAGAAGGCTGGACGGAGCACAGCGAAGCGAAGGAAGGAGGAAGAGGTGCAGGAGGAGGAGGAGGTGAAAGAGGATGTGCTGGATACACGGGAGAGTAATACAATGACTCGGGAAGAAGAGGAAGGTGACAATGAAGAGGCTCAGAGTGCAGATGACGAGGACGATGATAAGGGGGATGACGAGGATGATGTTGATGAAGAGGATGATGGCGAAGACAGCAATAATGAAGAAGAGGACGAGGATGGAGAGGACGATGAAGAGGACGACAATGACGATGAAGAGGACGACAAAGGAGAGGAGACGGCAGATGGCGAAGGAAATGGCAAGACAGAGGCGAACAACGAAGACCTCGGCGGTGGCCTGTTCAGGAATACCACATTGTCATCCACAACATCCAAGGACGGCAAGAAGCACGAGCGCGGCATCATCTATCTCAGCACCATCCCGCCTTACATGAAGCCTGCCAAGCTGCGCCACATCATGTCCAAGTTTGGAGAGGTGGACCGCATCTTCCTCCAACCAGAAGGTGTGTGTTGGAGGGGGTGGGATGAATGTTGCGTTCACGTGTGGGTTGCACATTTGTGCACGCGCCTACTCGTACGCGTGCACACGTGTGCAATGTGCGTGTGAGAGCGAAGCACGCCCCTCTGTAGCACGTGAATGATGACATGCGCGGACTGGCACCATGGCGTGTGTTGAGTTGTCACAACCTTTGTGGCTCATATGGTGATTGCCATGCACGTTGATCAGATCCCAAGATTCGCAAGCGCAGGATGGAGCGTGGGGGAAGCAAGAAGACCAACTTCTCCGAAGGTGCGTGTGCGTGCGGCAAGTGGATCAATGCAATGCCATGCCGAGTGCACCGGCTACAGCTTTGCTCCGGCTGTGTTTCACTGTGTTCACGTTGGCTTTGTTTACATGTGCTCCTCCTCAGGCTGGGTTGAGTTTATCAAGAAGAAGACGGCAAAGAAAGTCGCGGCCATGCTCAACGGCTCTCTCGTTGGTGTGTGTGTGTGTGCGTGTGTGTGCGTGTGTGTGTGTGTGTGTGTGTGTGTGTGTGTGTGCGTGTGTGTGCGTGTGTGTGTGTGTGTACATGCATACGTGTTTGATTGTGAGTTTGACCACGCAGCTGTCCTTGTTCCATGGTTATCCTCCTCACCATCTCCGTTTGCCACTGACACGTGAACACCACATCCTGCTGCTGCTGCTGCTCGTGTGCCCAGGCGGGAAGAAGAACAACTTCCACCACGATTTCCTGTGGAACATGAAGTATCTTCCCAAGTTCAAGTGGCACCATCTTCAGGAGCGCATGGGTGCGGTGTACATGAGGGGGAGGGGAGGGAGGGGCTGTTGCACCAGCAACCAAGAGGACTGTGTGTGTCTGTGTGTCTGCGTGTCTGTGTGTGTGTGTGTGTGTTTACGGCTTTCATACTCATCACTCCTATTATGCGTATGTGTGCATGTGTGCAGAGTACGAGAAGGCGAGTCGCCGGTATCGCCTGCGAGCGGAGATGGCGCGCATGCAGCAGCAGACAACCGCGTATCTCCAGCAGGTCCACGCCGCAAAGAGGTCCGTCTTGTGGTGTGTGTCTGTGTCTGTGTCTGTCTGTCTGTCTGTGTCTTTGTCTGCCTGTCCGTCACTCTGTCTGTCACTCTTGTCTTTCACTCTGTGTGTATTTGTTGTAAGCTTGCCCCCTTGTTCATCATCAATCCGTGATCAACAGCGTCTCCCCACGTCCCCCAAAAGCATCATCTCACCCCCTTTACATTTCACACACACACACACCCCATCCCCATTCCTGTTCAGATTGAGCCGAGCGATTGCACGCGGTGTAGCACAGCACGATGCCAAGAAGACGTCATCGTCGTCATCGTCATCGTCATCGAGGAGGGAGAGGGGCAGGTCATATCGTTTCCGGCAGCGCGAGCCAATCACAAAGCGCGCAAAGACCGACGACGAGTGATGGCGGCAGTCGCGGTGGACACAGTCGTACGATGTGGTGTGGTGGCGGTTGATGTATGTTGGTGGTTTGGATGTTGGTGGTGAACTGATGGTGGTTTGGATAAATGCTCCCCTTCTCCTCTCCATTGTGTGCGTGTGCGTGCATGTTTCCATTCTCGTTGTGGCCGCTGTTGACTGCTTTCCAAGTGGCTGTATTCTCACTCTTTCACTCTTTCTCCCTTTCTCCCTTACTCTCTTCTCGCTGTCCATAAACATGAACCCAACACATACGTGCACATGTGTGCACACGTTAACGCTCATTTACACACGCATGTGTTCGGTTCAGACGAAGAGAACACCAAAGCGAAGGGCGAGCGCAACGACGCTGCACACGACCTGCAAATGAAGAGGAGGAGGTGGGGGCAACATGAGCGATGTTGTGGTGACAGGGGACGGAGACACGTGCAGAGAAGGGGCGGGTGACGTGGCACACAAAACCTTACACAGCGACGTACGCAAAAGCACACACACACACACACACACACACACACACACACACACACACACACACACACACACACACACACACACACACACACACACACACACACCTGGATGAAGAGGATGCACATGACGAGGTTGCGCTCATGCATTGGACCGGCAATGGTGAGGACGGTGTTGATGACAGTGAAGTTGGTCACAACCAACCGCTCGTCCGTGCTCTCAACCACCCGCACCAGCCCGACCATCCTGCAGCAATGGTGCCAGCATAAATGCTGGACAACGTGAATAAAGGCATGATACACGCACATACACACACATACATACATACACACATACACACACATGCACACATACATGCACACATACATACACACATGCACACACACACACATACACACACATGCACACACACACACCACCACCACCACCACCACCACCTCATCGCCATCCCTTCACACGTGTCGCCAAGCGGCCATGTGACCACCGCACCGTGCGACGGCGATGCACCAAAGGCCGAGGGAGGACGTGGACTTGAGTGGCACCTCCACCACGCTCGGCTCAAGCAAACCCGTCCGCGCATTCACCCTGACACACACACACACACACACACGCACACACACACAGATGACGAATGTGACAGCACAAGCCAATGTGAGCGCCCTGCAACTCACACGAACACGAACGCTTCAGGTGGTCGTCTACATGTGTGGATGTGTGTGTGCACAGCCTTTAATGCAAGCGCACGCACATTCATATATGCACGCACACACGCACACACACATGCACATGTGTGCAGACCGTGGCATGCGGTGTCGTGGGCACGGCACAATCTTGAAGAGCTGGGGCACGCTGAGGACAAAGTTGAATGTCTGTGGGGCGAGGAAGAGGAGGAGCGTGCGGCTGAAGTGGCCCAGGATCGCGGCAACAGCAAACGTCATCCCTGCGGTGGGGGGGGGGGGAGGACGGACATGTAAGAGTGTCTGTGTGTGTGTGCTGTGCGTGTGTGTGTGTGTGTGTGTGTGTGTGTGTCTGTGTGTGTGTGTGTGTGCGTGTGTGTGTGTGTGGAGCCTGATCAACACATGGGTAAACATCCAATACCTGCAAAATAGCAGAATGTGTCGCCGACAAAGACGGAGCTTGGAAACCAGTTGAAGCGCAACAGTCCGGCAGTCACTCCGCAGAACGGCTAACACATACGCGCACACCCGTGCACAGGGTGGTGGTGTTGTTTTGATGTTGTTTTGGTGTCGTTTGATGTTCGTGGTACAAAGGCATGAGTGTGTGTGTGTGTGTGTGTGTGTGTGTGTGTGTGTGTGTGTGTGTGTGTGTGTGTGTGTGTGTGTGTGTGTGTGTGTGT